CGATTGCATTATTTAGTAAATACGCCTAAGTGGGGTATTTGACTTTAGATTCGGGTAGAACGAATTTGAATGTAGAGTGCGAGAGAAAGAGGGGCGAAAAACGAAGTAAAGATAGGGTTTGTTACTACTGCAATTGCTTGCCGTGAGTTTTTGGGCGCTCTTGCTTGTTAGAGCATTGATGATCCTCATTGTCCTGGCCAAAATGTACCTCTTCGAGACTTCAAGTCCGCTTTTCCGCCAAACTGGAATGCCTATTCTAAAATTTTGTTGAATAAAATTTGTCAAGGCAGATTGAAAGAAGAGAAACTGGGTTTCGAGGAATCTAGTGAGATAACATTGTTTGGGGGACTTTGATTTCGTATGAAAGTACTCGATGTAATACCTCACAATGGATGGAAGGACTATCATATCTGCATCTGAAGCCGTAGGTCCTGTTTTCGACAAGATTTAGAATGATGATAGGACAGGATTCTCTGATTGTTCCGAGATGTCTATTATGCAGTTACTTATCTGTCGTAAATAAAAGTATGATTCTTTGCCAGTCTCTAGTTGGTTCAGGAGAGTAAGGGTTACTTTTAAAATCATCAGAGGCTGAAAAGTTTATAAACTATAATGCCACTGTAAATGTAGTTACAAATATGCTCGCTATTGCCTATTGCTGCTAGTGCAATTGTTCTCCCTATGCATTTATGGGGAGGATTGTTGGTATTATGATAAAACGTGTGAATTTTGAAATTTTTTTACCCTAACTTTATTTCCTTTGAATAAATTTTCGGCTCTAGCCCCATGCCACCTTGGCACAGCTTCACTCTTATAACCTCGCTCCGCATCGTATATTCGATTGGCAACGATCTCGGGGGCGGTCTCTTACCGGCCTGCCCTATGGACGCAGCGTCGACGGAGAAGACGGGGAGAGAGAGGAGGAGGGGGAGGAGGAGGAGGAGGAAGACTACGATGCAGGAGTTGTTGAATCTGCGTCCGGTTGCGCCGGAGGACTGAGCGGAGAGGATGATGCCAAGCTAGCTTCTGCAATGAATGTAGAGGACGAAGAAGGACGGATAGGAGAGGCTCTGGCGCCCGGGATGGAGCATTTGGATCATTTTGGACATCGAGCAAGCCACCTCCAGCTTCCCTCCTGCTTTTGTGTCCCTGAACAGACTTGTGAGTTTCACAGGTCATTGTCAGGAGGCCCACCATCAACCTCTGAAGGTCCAGAAATGGCTCACTACAGACGAGCATTGACAGCCTCGGGTTATCGTAATACCACTGATTACGGCGTTATCAGTCTAGTCGAGCCTGGTTCTGAGCGACGAGGAGGGCGAGAAGAAGAAAAGGAGGAAATGGAGGACGATGATGAAGAAGGCTTAGGAGACAGAAGTGGTATGCTTGTTGGCGATTCAAGAGTGGCTGGGGCGGAAGGAGATTTCGATTCGGATGAGTTTGCGGTTGCAGTCAAGGGTGGCTATTGCGAGCACTTCTCTGAAACCGGCAGGCCAATGACCACTCTTGAGATAGAGCCAAGAAAACCTGACTCGGCCTGTTGTTCTTCTCAAAATTCGTCCATCTCTCCTCCAGATGATGACATTGATTTGGAGGAAGATGACGGAGAGAGGGAGGAGGATGCAGAAGAGGAGGGAGAGGAAGTTGACGAGGAGGAAGAAGAAGAAGAAGAAGAGGAAGAGGAGGAAGAGGTGGTGGATCGAAGCAATCTCACTTGGGCACATTTGCTTGGCCGCACAGGGGAACTGCATCCTCAACATTCTCCGGGCCATTTCAGGTTCGCAAAGTCGCGCACACAGGTGATTGCCCTACAAATCTTTGTTAATTGCTCTCCATGTGATATAGTATACAATATATTTTGTAAATTATTTAGATAAAACGATCTATGAATTTGCATAGGTAACGCAGTGCCTCGACATATCAAATTGGCACTAAATTTGGTTTCATTGCAGCTTTGTATTCCTATTTACTTTCGATCTCATTCCATTCAAACTGTCAGTAACCCTATGTTACGAGTGGCATTATCGTCATATAAAGGACTGATAGCGGTTAAAAACATGGCTTATATATAGATATATACAGTACAGCCAGGATAAAAAAGACATTTTTAAATGGATCATATATATATATTTTTATATATGCGTATATGTATACTAAGAAAATTAGGTGTTTTTGATTAAACTTGTCATGCTACTTATATATTTTAAGTAACCAGTTGGTCGCTACTATCAGGAATATTGACCAAATGACCCTATCGATTATTCAGTAAGATATTGAGCTTAATGACAAATGCTTGGTTGGTCGTTGATAGAAAATTTCCTTCCAAATATGCAATTTGAGAGTAGCATGCTCTGCTTGGCGTGTAAATCAACTGGGCTAATATCGTGGGGTCTGGGGAGCAGGTTGCTTGTCTCTAAAACAATAGAACACAGAACTCGAGACCCTCTGTGGATGCTTCTTCTGTCGCTGCTGATAACGCTGAGGCCCTTACTACAGCCTTGATTGAATGAGAACCGGCTTTTGAAACGCATTACGTTATGAATTTTAGCGCAGTTACAACTTCTCCTCATCGTTATCACTCCTTTCCACGATATAAAACTGGCGTCTCTTGGCCATTCTCTGTCATGTTACGTTGGAACTTATGACCTCTCATCTGCTAGCCTCCGTTATCACGAGGAAAGTCAAAACCAAGCCCTTATCCTAGAGTTAGGTGCCAACTTTATAATTCAAGCCTTTAAATGCTTTTTACTGCCAACACACTTTTCATTTCGTTTAAAAAAGTTGGTGCAAGTGATTCGTAACCTGGCCTCATTGGACACAGAAGGAGGATTATCTCAGACTGGATTGTGCAAAGGAGACCTCAGTTCATCGATGAATCCGTAATTAACTTTCGTCCATCATGTGACGGACACCAAAAACACCAGACAAATTAATACGAGCGTCAGCATTGCAAGATAATACGCTAGCTTATTTATCCAAGGAATGGGCTATGACTCTTTTCATCTATCAAATGCAGTTATTTTAAGGCATGAGGTAGTCACCTAAATCATCGGATGTGAAAAATGGCTTTCAATGAATTTCTTAGTTTTGTATTGTGACATGACTTTTTGTTTAAAAGGAAAAGTTGGTTGGAATGAATTCGGGAATTTATCTTGCCGGCTTCTGAAGAAGAGTTGTCTTAGAAGAGTGTTGACTGTTGGATAGTACGAAAAGGTCCTCGGCTTACTGTCCTGTCACCCCGATGAACCCTTGCTTAGATTTCCTCTGTTAAACGGCAGAATTAGTCAAAACGAGAAAGGATTGCCTACAAAAAAGCGTGCTAAATGCAATAACCAAAAAAAATAACGGTCACTCCGTGCACTTACACCGACTTATTCTTTGGATCGCAGAGATTGTTGCATCAAGCAGCCATTACTTCTTGGTTTAATACATTAGGTGCGACTTTTTGTAAATTATGCAATCTCGCTCTAAGATGTCTTTCACGGCAGGACATACAGAAGCTTAGCTTGGGTTCATCTGGGTCGCACAATCCAACAGTCTTTACTCAAAAGGCAGTTTATTATAAGACCAATTCAAAAATTTATTCTAGCCCACTTTTTTTTCAAAATTAAAAGTCATGTTGAAATAAATCACTAAGGCGTTTTTTCATGCCCAATTTTTATTCATATCCCATGATTAAAGTGACTACTTCATGCTTGAAGAAGGGCATGCCCTACATGCTAACAGATGGATGAAGTTAATTTATGAAAATGAAATTGTCGTGCTGACGACTCCAAACATGTATGGCAAGCATGAAATAGCCAACCACATCATAAGATGCCTCATTAAGAAAACATAATTAAGCATAAGAAGCCGGTAGTCTTGCTGCTGGGCGCCTATTCTCTTGGTTTAGTATATTAGTGCACTTCCCCGTAAAGTATGCTTTCTCTCTATGACGATGACCGTCACGGCAGGTAAGACTTGACGATGAGCGCAATTGACAAATTCATTCCAACATACTTTTTCTTCGAAATGAAGTCGTTGAGATCGCAAAATTAGCTGCACTAAGTAGGTCGGAGACAAGCCAGTCTCTTTTTTTGGTCAATTATTCGTCATATGACACGAAAACTCAGCACGGTAGCATTCACAATCCCAAGTCCTCCTTCGGTTTTAGGTGAGGCCATTTTACAAATCCCTTTTGTCTGCCTTTACAATCGAAATGAAGGGTACTTCAGCATCAATCTATTTACTGGAATCTTTGCAAACCAGCTTTCCCTCATGCCGAATGCTTTTTTCATCCGATGCCCCTTATCAGCTGCCTTACAGCCTTGCGCCCGAAATCACACCCAGTCTGGCTGATCATGGGCCTGTACCAGCCTCCCACCGGCATTTCGCACACTCTCTTCTGCCCTATCCGCTTCGGCGATCATTTGTGGGCTCCAGCCACGAGCAGCACAAAACCCTCGAGGCTTGTCTATCGCCGATGCAACAACGCCGAAGCCGCCTGTTCGCGGGGTCTCCGTCAACGCCTCTTGCGGTTTCCAGTTTCGCCACAGCCAGTGCCACTCCGCCTCGATTTCGAGCGGCTGCGGGTCGTGTTCAACCGGCGTCTCTTTGTCTCACCGTCCAGAGGCAACCGCGAGAACGGCAGCAATCACAGTCCCAGCCAAGGGCTGCGAGACGGCTTGGGGTCGTCGCATCTTCGGCCGGCCAGACGATGTCAGGCCCGGCCTCCCGTGGTACAGACTCAGCTCAGGACATCGTCTACCGTGTCGCTGGGTCGTCCAGTCATCCAACTTCATTGTCCACCATTGGTCCTCACTTTTCCGGACAATCCACACCACGGGCAGGCCAATTCGCCGGCCAGACGCCTGGCTATTTTGGACATCCTGACTGTCCGAATCCACTTAATTTCCAACCCATGTATCTGGGCTATCCCGGTCCAGTCTCTCTGCCTCTAGTCTGGCCGGGTCAGCGGTGTCACAGGTCGACAGTTGCCGGTGTCGCCGCGACTGTAGACGGCCAATCAGACGCTCTGCCTACTGCGGCTATGATGGCCGATGCAGGCTACTTTCCCAACGTCTACTTCCTTCGAGGGACAGGTGAGCGATTTATTGACTCATTTTCATTCTGGAAGTCTTGAAACATTGCATACCTGTTTGACTACATGATGGTACCACGAGGCATGGAGCTTGAAAGCTGAAGGACCAACTGCATTCCACAGCTGTAATTTGTCATATATAACGCATACTCAAGGCTAAAACCAAGCATGGAGTTAGTAAGTGGGCCCCACCTTAGGCTGTAGGTGGATTGCCTTAGAGCATGAGATATCCAACCAAAGCGTGAGATGTCTTATTAAGTGGACCCAGTTGCACTATAAGAAGTTGATAGGTTTGAAGCCGGCCATCTTTTTTTGTCTTCGTGTTTTGGCGTATTATCGTCAAGCATGGTGTCCTGCTCTGACGATGCCCGTCAAATGACGGTACGAACGCTCAGCAAGGATTCATCGAGGTTGCAGGGCGGTGCCCCAAGACCTATTCGTACAAATCTACAGTTAAAGCATGTGATGTCACATTAATATCTAAAAATCTGGTACAAAACGTGAATAGACTTTTAGCCTTTCTTGATTCAATGTTTTGGGGATTTTTTTCTAAATGATGCCTTCTGGCTCGAACACTATCAGTGACACAACGTACGAAAGCTTAGCACAGATTCTGCGATGTCGCAAAACTCAGCAGCCACAAGCCCTTCCGTTTCCGACGAGGCCAGTCAAAAGGAAAGATACTCCGACATCAAACTATTAGGGGATTCTTTGAAACTCAGCTTCTTTTCTACACGGTCACGTTTAACAAAATCAGAAATGGCGGTGAAATCAGAGAATTTGGCTACATTTACAAGACCACGACATGGAGCTTGGAGTCATTGCAAGTGGATTACCTAAGAGGCTAGCTAATTCCCGATCGGCATATTATCCTGTGGTGTGTCTTGTAGTAGAACACCTTTTTCGGTGCTGATTTCAGATGCATACATGAAGAGAAGTT